TAATATTAATCATCTTAAATGATTTATATATATATATACATACACATATGTTATTTAATGTATATATGTGTTTAACACCTTCTTTAATAATCCTTAATTATTTAAAATCAATATACATATATATATATATATATATATATATATATATATTCATCCTTCCATACAACTCATAGACAAATTAAACTATATATACACATATATAAATAATTTTATATATATATATATATATATATATATATATATATATATATATACACTTCCTTCCATAACAAATTATTAATTTATTATATTTACACAAATTAATGCAACTAAATATGTCAGAAATAGTTTCCTTTAAATACTCCATATTGGTTTAAATAGTTTTCCGACACTTTCTCACTAAAACATAAATATCTCCTAGTAGGATGGGAATCTGATAATGAAATTGGTACCATTGGAAAGAAGACGAAAAATCCTTGAATTTGAGCTCAAGAATGACCCAATTTCGATTTAAAATGACTAAGTTATGACCGTTTTAATTTCTAGTGTCGAATTAGGCCAACATAGTTTCCCACGCGCGCCCACGTGCTTACTATGCACTTGCACGCGCTGGATTCAAGCCTCCTTGTGTGCTGGTATTGGCTAAGCTCTTTCAGCTACCGTGAGCTCACCACACTGAATCCATCACTTCCTTTATGCCGCATCCAATGGTCATAAATGAGTGCGCAAATGAACACGCTCACACTAGATTATTTTCTATTAACTATAATAGATCTAAGGTCCAGATCAGCGAGTGCACCATCTTCTCATGGTCTGCAATACACCAAATAATCCCATAGTTGACCAGACCACTTCTATGGTCCAGATACACATGCGCACCAAAGTTTTATGCGCCGCGATACACCATATCAATTCACATAAGTTTAATTAATCAAATGGCCCTAATTGGCGTATACACCCTATTATCCTACACCGCGCCGCACTGGATCAATTCTTTATTGTGCCGCCGCTCCACATGCGCCAGTTACCTAGTATATATATATATATATATATATATATATATATATATATATATATATATATATATATATAATTATTTTCCTAACAAATAATAGGAAAATAAATCCTAATAAATTCCTAAAAATATCAGAAAAATTCCAGAAAATTACAGAACAATTCTAGAAAATAAAGAAACCATAATTAACTCTCTTGGGTCACAAATCCACCTATAGATTGATTTTAAAATATACATAACACCTATATATATCAATTAAAATCCAATAATCTAAAAATCAAATATAATAGTTTATACTTTTTAATTATTCCGATCTAACCATAATTTTTAAACAAATAAATTTAATTAAAGCCTTGATACTCAAGGTGAAATCCTTATGAATTCTAAGAGGAAAGTTAGAGAAAACTCGCCTGAAGGTTTCGAAACGAAACCGACGCTTTAAGCTTTAATTATCTCTTCCAATTCCGACGTCCTCCTTTTCAGATCCGACCTCCTCCTTGTCAGCCCTTCTTCTTCCTCTCTCTCTGTCTGTTTTATTTTTCTAACGTGTAAAACCTTTAACCCTAAAGCCTTATGTGTATTTTTATACACCTTAAATTCCAAATCATATTCCAACTAGTATTATGAATTAAAATAATAATCTTTAAATAATTTATATCTATAAACATATATATATATATATAAATATATATTCCTTCCATAATTAACTCATTAGTTAATTAAATCATATATACTTATAAATATCAATAAATATATATCTATATATATATCTTTCCATAACAATTATTAATTAATTATATTTATATATAATATATATATATATATATATATATATATATATATATATATATATATATTGATACAAAAGTGATCATTTAAATAATTAAATAACCACGGACCTTCATTAATTAACCCAATAAGGTTTCATACAAGCCCAAGACCACATCTTTTGGTCCAACTTTCCTTAAGCCCAATCCAATTAATTTAAATAAATAAGATAATTAATTAAATACAGAAATTAAAATAACTAATTACATGAAGCACATAAACAAACAAGAATTTACAACTAAGTCATATAATACCAATAAAATCAACACACCAATAATTCAATCAATAATCAACCACACAAACAATCAATCATCATACATAATCACGAAATATAACTTAATTAAAATAAGATAATTAATCTAGCACTCAATAAAATAAAATAAATCATTGAAAAATAAAATAAAATAATTAATCCTAATTAATAAATCTTTTAAAATTATCGGGGTATTACAGGACTTGTCAGCCCTTGAGAAGGAAGGAGTCCAAGGTGCTCCAGCCTCGGCAAGGCCGTAAACGTTGACCTCATCCTTAGGGTTAACCTCCTCAGTTTTCTTCCATTTGCTTTTTGGGTTGGAAGCACCCTTGGATTTCACGATTGAAGAGGAGTTCAGCCTTGCCCTTTTGTTCAAAGGGACTTCGTCAATCTCCTTTTCCTGCTCATTTGTGCGCAGTATAGTCAACGGAGCATTCTCTACAGCTTTCCTCTTCAAGGCTTCAGCCCTCTGTTTTTCTTCCTCAGTCATGGGGAAGCTGTCAAAAGATGGAAGTGAGAAGTCTATGAGATCAGCGGCTACAGCTCTGGAAGCAACTGCTTTAAGACTCGCAGAAGTGAGTAAGCTCTCGATCGAGGGAGGGTTGCTCCAGACCCGTTTTTCCAGGAAGGAAAGCCTCTTCTTAGCAGCCGAAGAAGGAAATATTGCTGAAAAAACACCAAGAAACTCTTAAATATATCGAAATAGTAAGACTCGACATGGGAAACAGCCCGAGCACTTTTCATGAAGAAAAAGAGGATGTTCTATACCTAATTTTCCAAACTTGCGAGGGATTGGGAGTTTGCTCGATTGGGGCACGGCCCATTTCCCTTTAACAACTATCATCCTCTCTTTCCACTTCTTCTCAGAAGTATGAAGGTCTGTGCATATCCTTTGGTGCAAGGGGGAAGTGAAAAAGAAACGACAAGGTTTGGTTCCATGCTTAGAAATAGAATAAGTAATCAGCAAATCAGCCAGAGTCAGGTCAAGACTCTCCTGCCACCGGCGAATGAGGAGTGCTGAGATTACTCGAAGGAAGTTAGGGTTTACTTGCAGGGGTCCATACCCCAATTTGTTGAAGACTAAATGATAAAAGGGATGAAGGGGGAACCTAAGAGCGTTGAGATGCCCAACAAAGAGGAGCAACTCGTCTTCTCCGACGCCCTCGCCGGCACAAAAATCGGCACCTTTGGGGTACTCTGCAATTTCTATCCCCTCGGGAATCTCAAATTCTTCCATTACGGATTCAATGGAGAACGAGATGCGATGAATAGATAGAATTGCACTCCTCTCTTCCTTAGTGAGGATATTGTCTTACCCAGAAGTGGATGTTTCAGCCTGGATTGGAGAAGCACTTGGCTTATTAGCCGAGTCACTTATGGGTTTAGGAAAGTTCGAAACCTTAGGTGGGGGAACCCTAATGAGATTAGGGGAAGACGAGGGAGTGGACTCAGAATCTATGATATCTATACGTTCAGGAGTAGTCGAAGTACTCATAATGCAAGATCGAAGAGAAAAAGATGGAGAACTAACCTGATAAGACGACGGAACGAAGAATGCAAGAAACGTAGTGAGAGCAAAAGTAACCCTTATAGAATCTCTTAAGGCAGAATGACAATGGGCAATCTTCGAAACGTCTTTTGGTAAAAAAGACAACCGTGCAACTTCAATTCCCTTTTTAATAGGAGCCGCAATCCAATTAAAGAAGGAATTGGGGGCAAAGTGTGGAGGGAAAAATCTGCCTCCAATAAGAGCAATCCACGTCATCATAAATATAACTTTATCTTCAATAAAGGTCAAAGCCCATTTCTTCAGAAGCCCAAGTTGAGTTGGTCATTAGCCCAAAACTACCGCTATCTAACTACGGGCTTTACTAAAGCTCGAATCAAGACGCCAGCAGTCATGTGTACCAAGTTAGATGCGGCCCAAATCCATTTAAAAAAGGAACCGGTCCTGCAAGGAAAATGATTCATTAAAGGAAGTAAGTTCTGTGTAAGGAAAATCCGGAAAGGGAAGAATTATAAAGAGGAAAGAATTTTATTTGTAAAGAAATTGATATATGGAAAGAATTAGAGGGCAAGTAACGCGAATCCTACTATAATTCTTCTAACTTTTGTATATAAATAGAGGTCCAGACCTCCAATAAAGGGATTCAAGCAATTCTATGCTTCTCTAGATACTGTTCTTATTGATTCTTACTGTTCTTGAGTGTGTTGTATTATTTTTCTCAATTGTTCTTGGCTGAGTAGAATTTTGCACTTACACTAACAATCCCGCCCGGCGAGATCAATTGCTTCGGCTTTTTCAAATCGCTGGTTCTCGACTTCGTCTTCTTCGCTAAATTACCACCTTTTTTGTTTTGTTCTTGATGATAATTATCAAAAGCTTTAATACATATATATTTATACATATATATAATGAAAAAGGACTTTACAAAAAGAAAGGAGGAGGAGAGAGAGAGGTGTCAGAGAGATAAGACTTGTGCGGAAATTTGGGTTTTTTCTGGGATAATTGTGTCCTTTTAATATGTTTGATGTTCTATAATAAATCTGATTTTAATATTAAGGATAATTTCATCTTTTCAGATGATTTAAGGCCTTGTTTGATTGGAGTTTTGTACGAGGGGGTGTCTTTGTTCAAAAAACAGATAAGTTTCATCCATGTGTCTTTTAGCAAATCTTAGGTGTGTCTTTGTTTCTATTGCATTCTATCTCATCGTATCACATTCTGTTTTGTGATATTTGAGAATCGCGGATGTATACTTTACCCAAAATATATATATATATATATATATATATATATATATATAATGATAATTAAAAATAATAATAATAATACAAAAATAATTAAAAAAATAATTAATTCAGTTCAGAGTCAGAATAGCCACTTCCTCAATTCTGGAAACATTTGGAAATTGTGATTTAAATCCACGTGTCACATTGATTCCTTTTCTTAACCGTGAAAAAATGAATTTCCTATGCTCATTTTCAGTTTCAGAAGTTGAACTCTTGGAGTGTAAACCTCAAAATCATTCAAGTTAATGCTTTTCTGTGCAAATTCGAACCAACCATGGAACTCCACACACCCCACACTTGTTCTCCTCCCAAAATGCAGGACTCCAATGGACGTGAGCCAAATTCACGCGCGAATTATAACGACTGGTTTCATCAAAAACACTTCTTTAACCACCAAGCTCATACTCAGCTTCTGCTCTTCACCGTGTCGACCCCTCGTTCGATTTGCTCGATTCCTTTTCTTGTCGGAACACGCTCGCCGAAATCGAAAAACCCAAGTAGGCCCTTTCCTTTGGAATGCGATTATCAAGACTTTCTCTCATGGGGATGACCCAAAACAAGCTGTTGTAATCTTTTCTTTGATGCTTGAAAATGGGGTTCGTGTTGATGAGTTCTCGTTTTCTTTGGCTTTGAAAGCATGTTCTAGAATGGGTTTGATCAAGGAAGGAATGCAGATTCATGGGCTGATGAGGAAGCTCGAGGTTGAGGTTGGTGTGTATTTGCAAAATTGTTTGCTTTGTTTTTATTTGCGATGTGGCCATCTTGAATGTGCTCGTCAACTGTTTGATAGAATGCCGGAGAGGGATTCAGTTTCGTTCAACTCGATGATAGATGGGTATATGAAGTGTGGGATGGTAAATTTTGCACGTGAGTTGTTTGATTGTATGCCGGAAGAGATGAAGAATTTGATTTCTTGGAATTCGATGATTAATGGGTATGCGCAATCGGAAGATCATTTTGCAGTTGCTTGGGAGATATTTATGCGAATGCCTGAAAGAGACTTGGTTTCTTGGAATTTGATGATTGATGGCTGTGTAAAGTGTGGGAAGATGGAGGTTGCTCATGCTTTGTTCAACCAGATGCCAGAAAGGGATGTGGTCAGTTGGGCCATTGTGATTGATGGTTATGCAAAATTGGGCAGTGTTGACATTGCTACGGTTTTGTTTAATGAGATGCCTGAAAAGGATGTAATTTCTTGCAACACAATGATGGCTGGATACGTTGAAAACGGGCATTTCATGGAAGCATTGAAAATCTTCCAGGATATGTTAAGCCAAAGCAAGCTGTATCCTGATACTACCACTTTGTTGATTGCTCTCTCTGCAATTGCCCAATTAGGAAACTTTGATGAAGGGGTCACATTACACCGCTTTATAGAGGAAAATGGGTTTATTTTGAGTGGAAAACTGGGCGTTGCCCTCATAGACATGTATTCAAAGTGTGGCAGCATAGAAAATGCTCTGTTGGTATTTGAGAATATAGAGGAGAAAAGTGTTGGTCATTGGAATGCTATGATTGGGGGGTTGGGCATTCATGGCTTGGGCGAATTGGCATTTGAATTGTTCATCGAGATGGAGAGGCTTTCTCTAAAACCAGATGATATCACATTTATTGGCGTCTTAAATGCTTGTGGCCATGCCGGCTTGGTGAAGGAAGGCCTGATGTGTTTCGATCGTATGAGAAGTGTTCACAAGGTGGAGCCCAAAATCCAACATTATGGATGCGTGGTTGACATTCTTGGTCGGGCAGGACATATTAAAACAGCCAGGAATTTTATAAAGGAAATGCCCATTGAGCCAAATGATGCCATTTGGAGGAGTTTGCTTAGTGCTTGTAATAATTATGAAAATTTTGATATTGGAGAGCCGGTAGCTAAGCATCTAATTGGGCTGGATTCTGGTAGTTCAAGTTCCTATGTGCTTCTGTCTAACATGTATGCTGGTTTCCATATGTGGGAGGACGTAAGGAGGGTTAGGACAATGATGAAAGAAAGGAATCTAACGAAAAGTCCAGGTTGCAGTTGGATTGAACTTGAGGGAATTGTTCATGAATTTTTTGTGGGGGATGAAACCAATCCTCAAGTAAGAGAGATTTATTCAACGCTAGACAGAAGGCGTGCACTCAATTCAGATGTCACGTCTTGTTGACCCTGAGGTTGAGTTGAGACATTCTGAATTTGAAGCTGGCAAGCGACTGTTAATCGACAAGTAAATGATTAGATGTGGCCTTCGACAAAAGCGCACCCATGATCTTTTAACGTTGCAAGCTGCCATTTATATTGATATACAATGATATAACTGTGGCGTTAAGATTTATCTTAGCTGTCTTCTCTTTAGTGATATGACTAATGATTTCCATGCTTATCACCCTGTACACTATGTGAACTTTGTACCACAACTTGTAAATTTAGCATGGAAGCAAATTTAGTAAGCAATTCAATATGATTTCATTGAACAGTCACTATTTCATCTATTACAATTCTTCCTAAATTTATTGAAGTAAAACAGTTAGTGTGCATTTGGAAACAGAATTACTTCAATATAACATGTCATATTATGTGCATAAAAACTTTAAGAGACAACTTTAAAAAACTTTGGAGACAGAAAAAAGTAGAGGGATAAACTTGTAAGAACGGGAAATAAAGAGGTTGAAGGAAGGAGAGGAGTTTTAGCTTGCTACTCTCTCTTCTGTGATCAGAACCCAGATACCACTTAAAATCAAAAGCCTTTAGAACTTATTTGTTTTGTAGGTAGATTTACACACATGTGCCACCACAACTGTGACTTGAACCCTCAACCTCTCATTCGAGGATGCGGAGGATATGCCATTCAAGCCCAGACTCGGGCATTGAAGCGGTAATAATTGTTTTTACAGGAAAGTGAAAATGGTGCGAACTTGCAACTTGAAAGGAAATTAAAAATGAAATCATGGTACAACAGCTAAACAGGGATTATTAATCATTGTTGGACCCATTAACTAGTGTACTATCATGTAAAAGGCTATGACTCACTTTCAATACAGGAGTTATTGTCAAACTATATACAGGAGAGAAAAAGATGCATACAAGTTAAGTAGGCACGTAGTTGTATCCCACAATGTAAAAGCAAGGTAGGACTATCACCAGCTATGTTGCAATATCACTCTGAAAGTAGTCAAGAAAATGGAATGAAACAAAAACAAGTGCCAGGAGTACTGGACTGAAAGACGAAAAGGACAAGAAATGTTCACAAGCACCAAAGAGCAAGGTCATGATTCATGAAGCTTTGGTTTCTTCATGTGTGAGTCCTGTTTGCTTCCATGAAAAGTATGGCAAGTCCATTTCTATTGTCTGCATGCATTTTTATAAGGAAAGATTCCCTATCCAGACACTAAGAGTCGATTGCATACAGCTTTACACTATTGATTTTATAGGGCCTATGTCTCAAGGCACCTTTTTTCTATATAAACTGTTTGGCCACTATTGATTTTTGAATAGTATACTTTTTTATCATCACATGTTGGGGTTGAAACATTAGGGTTGTGGACTTGTTTCCTAGAACTAATTTCTCAATTCTCTCTCTACCAATTCTTGAACTCCTAACCTAAGGGTTGACCACACAAGCAAACTCCTAAGCCATTCCTGGAACCAATTTCTGTATCACCAATCTACCTTTGTATTCATTAATAGGATTTTCAAATGCAATGAAATAGATGCAATTAGCCAATTAAGATGGAAAGAGGAAAAATAAAATAAAAAATATATCCAATTCTCAGAAGATGTGCAAATAAACCCTTGTAGCTAAAAAGTGAATATATATGAAAGCTCAAGACACCTTACCTGCACTAGTAGGATGTTAATCACTCTAAAACTTTAAGGTACTAGATAGTGTTTACCTAAAGTATTTTATATTCCCAAAAAGTGACATTGCATTTTTATTTCTTTTCTAGCCATGTTCTCAACAAGAATAGAGTCTAGAGAGAGGAATTTTTTTAACTTTGGATCTACTACAAATAGAAATTACAAACTACAACTTCGTCCAGTGAGTTGGAGTTAAAACTATCTTGCTACATTGCCATATTTCGCTAATACAAATAATCAAAGGCAAAGTTTCCCCCAAGGGGGCATTAACATTAAGAACTTCAGTCCTTGAGAAAGGACAAGGCATATAACGACGTTAGTAACCTAGAGAAAGCTTTAACATCAGTAGGAAGTTAGTAACGGCAGCTTATCATTAGAAAATTTGAGGCAAGAACTCCTCCGAATAGAAATCAAGAATTGCTACGTAAATCACTTAGTTCTTGCATCAGCATTTCAATGGCCGGCCTCTGGTTAGGAGATTCATGAGTGCAAAGTAGAGCAATTTTCCCCAGCTTGGCTGCCTCGGATTCTGAAAAGTTTGCCTCAAGTTTTGGATCAATAAAATCTTCAAATCTGCCTGACTCGGCTCCTTGGCGAGTCAACGGTGAGATTCTGCGTTTTCCACAGAGGATTTGAAATATGATCATACCGAATGCAAATATATCGCTCTTTTCAGTGAACCGGCCAGTGGTGGTGTACTCAGGTGCCAGGTATCCCATTGCGGCACTAGTTTTTACCGTGGAGAAGACAATGTCATTCACAAGAAGTTTTTGAAGTCCTGAATCGGAGAGCAATGGGTTGTACCGTTGGTCAATGAGCACTTTCTCTGCTGATATATTTTGGTGAACTAGAGCAGGTTTGTTTCCTTTGTTTCCATGCAGATACTCAATACCTGGTTAGAAAGCAACATCAAGTTTCAGTATGCACAAAATAATTATGAAAGGATTGAGGTTATTCCTGCTCAAAGTTAAAGAACAAATTATTATTATTATTATTATTTTTCCTGAATGCTCCACAAAATTCTACCATCCCTTCAAATTCAAGTACTCGGGAACACATAAAACATTATTAGTTTGCAATTACAAAGATTTAACAGGTTTGTTACTAGCCCATATCAACCCAACAATGGAAAAGAAGAAAAAAAATTACATCAAAAAGACTAATGAGCTAAAAGAATTAGAAATACTAACCTTTGGCAATGCCTTTGATTATAGAAGTTCTCGTAGACCACTCAAGACCTTTCCCTTTGCCATCTTTAACATCAAGATATTGCAACAAGTTTCCATTTGGGACAAAATCATAGATGAGAAAACACTCTCCCCTGCCTTTTGAACAACAAAAGCCTCTCAACCTAACAAGATTTTCATGTTTCAATGAGATCAACACCTTCAATCCCTTCAAGAAGTCGGCCTCATCAGACTTACAGCTAGTCTTGGCAATGCATTTAACAGCAACAACAGACCCGTCCCTCAATATCCCTTTGTAGATAGCTGAGAAACTACTCTTGCCCAACAAGTTCACTTCCGAGAAGTATTGAGTTGCAGACTCTACATCTTCCACATTGAACATAAAGCTCTCGAAAACTTCCTGAGAAAACCCATCTCCGCTCCGACCTTTAGCCATCGGATCCCAACCATTGGAATACTCCAGATTGATGAGGGGAGAGGCACTCTTTTTGTAAACCTCCTTGAGTTGGTCAGTACTCAGTCGACCATTAGAAGTATCAAAAGCACTCCCAATTTTCTGCTTCCGGCGACGGTACCATGAAAATGTGAGAAGTCCAGTTACTGTCAACGCAACAATTACCCCAACTGCTACACAAATTAAAGCAATTTGTGGGGGTTTTGACCGATTTGAACAGTTTGTTTGGGTGCAATTTGGTTGGAAATTTGCCGACTCTGGAATATTTTTTGTAGTCCGACCATTCAAGCCAGGCCCAAATGGTTCTGGTTTGTCTGGGTTTGTATTATCATCATCAGTGCAAACTTCCAAGGAAGAAAAATCAACTCCACATAAACCCTTGTTGTTTGCATATTGGAATCTTTCATTCAATCTCTTCAGAGCTTCATTTTTTGTCAATAACAAAACCAAAATCAGACCGAGTTTTACACCATAATAATAAATTGATTAAAATATGTCAAATTGGAAGACATAAAAATGCATGTGAAAGTGGAAAAATCATATTACCTGGAGGGACATTGCCGGAAAGTGTATTGTTTCTGATGTCTAGAATTTCTAGCATCGGTGGGTCAGCTAACTTTACTGGAATCGAACCAAAAAGACGATTAAAGCTCAAATCCAACCTTTTTAACATCTCCAAATCCCCCAAACTTGCAGGAATTGCACCAGTTAATTGATTATATTGCAAAGCAAGAACACCAAGTTTTTTCAAAGACCCCAGCTGTGTAGGTATGCTTCCAGTAAACTTGTTGTAACATAGCTGTAGAACTGCAAGCAAAGGAACTCAGACTTGAGGTTTCATCATTCAGTTCTACTTATAACCTCAAAATAAGAAAATGTAGTTTAAGCTAAATCAACTAAGTTGATGAAACCCAAAGATCTGTGAACAAAACTGAAACTTTCTAAATTCCATTGAGCTCTACATTTAACCAGGGACACTACTAAAGTTGCAGAAGCAAAGAAACCCAATCTACCCAGTTGAAGAAAAGGTCTTTGATCGAGCTCGATCTCTGAGTGTGTTGAGATTCTAAAACTCTTGCCTCATTTTCCAAATTGAAGTACAAGCCCTACATCCTCTGATACACTTGCAGGGAATTAAATTGGCAGCCAATATGATTTGGCTTCAATTCCCTGCAAGTGTATAAGAGGATGTACAAGCCTTTCAAATCCAGAACAACCCAAAACCTGCAAGTAGCTCCCAAAATCTTCCCTTCGTCATTTAGCTATCTGAGTAACCCTGAAGGTACCCATTTACAAAATGAACAGAAACCTAGATGCATATTTATGTGTCTATTTATATATGTGTGTGTGTGTGTGTGTGTGTGTGTGTGTGTGTGTGTGTATTCAAGATAGAAACATAGAATAGATTCAACAAGCAAAGATTACAACTTTCCTACAAAAAAGCCCCAAAAACTGACCTTGAAGATTAGACATATTTGCAATCTCAGGAGGAACCTCCCCAGACAGATTATTCACATTAAGATACAAATCAGACAGTTCACGCAGATTCGCTATCTCTTTAGGTACCACTCCGTAGAGCAGATTGAAATGCAGGTACAACCCCGACAAGCTCTCTAGCCGACCGATTTCCTGCGGTATTTTCCCGGAGAGACCCTTGCCCTGAAGTGAAATGTTGACCACGTGGCCGAGCTCGTTGCAGGCAACGCCTTCGAACGAGCCGTCGCATGGGTCGACGGAGGCGTTGGGTGACCAAGAGGAGAGGTAGAGGTTGTGTGGGTCGAGAGAGGCTTTGATGGTCATGAGGAGTGAGTGCTCTGAGGCTGTGGGTTCAGAGAGAGCTGGTGATGGGTGTGTGAGTACGAAGAAGAAGAGAGAGAGCAGGTAGAGAGAGAAAATACCCATGTTTGGTTTGAGGGAAAATGTTGGGGGAATTTTCCTGGTTCTATCTTCCGGGTTGTGCTGAAAGTTCATCCGTCTCTTGTTCAAATAGAGAGAGAGTGGGGTGTGTGTGTGTGTGTGTGTGTGTGTGTGTGTTGGGGCTCTGCAACAACGTGTGTGTGAACGCGCAGAGTGAAGGGTAACTTGGGGGAGTGAGAACATGTAGTTTCGAGAAACTCCAGAATTCGAATCTCAGCAACTGGTAGTGCCGGTAACCGGTGACACGTCAAAAGGATGTACCTCTAGTACATTTCCTTATTCAGTATTCTGAATGTGACACACAAATTCTTCTGAGAAAGACATGACTACTCCGTAGTAAATAAGATTAACCAGTTAATCTCTATTATCTTATCATAAATCACACTAATATCACAATTTTTTTATAATACAAAAAAAAAATTTAGTTGGGTAATTAATTTCAGATGTGATGGTTCACTTTCATTTCCAAAATAATGAAGCAATTTTCATTTTTGATGATGTAAGGGGCTTTGGAAAAACTTGCCCCACAATAATGGGATTTCAAAAGTTTACACAGCTACATAATTCTTATGTTTTGACAATCCAAATAAAAATAAATAAATAAAACCCGTTTATATAATCCTCTGCATTTTAAAGCATATTGAGAAATTTAAATAATGAAAATGTATTTATGTTTGAATTTTTTTTATTCTTTTGTTTTATTCTTTGGGAAAATGAATTACAAATATTTTTGCATGACAATGTAAATTTTAGAATTACTGAACTACAATTGACAATGTAATGAAATTGTCATAATTAAAAGGGCAAATTACACAAATCACCCACAAGGTTTCTATATTGTGCATATAGATAAAAGTTATAGCAATATTACAGAAAAGTCCATGTTTGCCGTTTGACCACAAATAATCAATAAAAATTTACACTTTCGACCTTAAAATTAAAGTATTTATTTTTAATATACACTTTTGACCTTAAAATCAAAGTATTTATTTTTTATAAAATAAAAAACAAAAGATATTATATAGTAAGAAGTTTCATTTTTGTCCCTGGGTACACCCCATCCCTTCCCTACCACATCACTATTTTCTCTCTCTAAACATGCACCGAAAAATCATCCATCAGCGCCGAACCCCCTCTTGCTCACCCGCCGGAATCCTATTTGGTCCGAGGATCAGACCTTACTCGCCGTCCCTTAATGCTGCCAGAATCGCGACTGCGAACCGCCATCACCAACGCTTCAACCATGTTGTGCCTCGCCATTCCGTGTACTTACCGATTCGAAGTACATCTCCCTCGAACAGTCCCAAACTCCCAACGGCATCCACCATCATCGTTGTGCACTGCCACCTCTTCCATCGTCGCAGTGCCGTCTGAGCCCTTTCTGGCCAATTCAATCTCGCCGGAGGTGTCCGTGAATGACTCGTGGCGGTGCTCGGAAAGATCGATGGCAGAGGGCTTGGATGGTGAAGAGATAAGGACGGCAAGGACGACAGATAACTTTGTGACCATAGCCTTATAGTTAAGGTCCATTGTGAGGACTTCACAGAAGTAGCATTTGTAATTCGTTTTTCGCTCTAATCCTGAATGTTATACCGGAAGGGTCTGTGCAGAAAGAGAGATTGGAGAGAGAGAAGATGGAGTCGAACTCGGCTTTGATGGGCTCGGCCGATGTCGGCTGTAATGGAAGCGGCGGCAAGCTCGGATGGGAAGAGCTTAGCTGTGGCGGATGTCAGCTGTGATGGAGGAGGCGGCGAGCTCGGACAGTGGAGAGTTATGTGGTGATGGCGGTGACGGACTGACGAGCATGGAACAGAGGACTCAGGCCACTCGACTATGATGAGGTCGGAATAATTTGTGGCTCTGTGGTTGGATTTGGGTCTGTGATTGGTTTTGTGGCTCTGTGGTTGGATTTGGGTCTGTAATTGGTTTTATGACTTTGTGGTTGGATTTGGGTCTGTAATTGGTTTTGTTGCAGATAATTTTATAGTTTTTGTAATTTGGTCTGTGTTGGCTCAGGCTACTCGACTATGATGAGGTCGGAATGATTTGAGGCTTCGTGGTTGGATTTAGGTCTGTGATTGTTTTTGTGGCTCTGTGGTTGAATTTGGGTCTGTAATTGGTTTTGTTGCAAATAATTTTATGGTTTTTGTAATTTGGTTTGTGTTGGCTGTGATAAAGTCTTGGGGGCAAAATCATAACTTTAACAATGCACAAAAAAAAAATAATAATAAATAGATTTTTTCATTAAACAAATAGTTTAACTTTAAGGACAAAAATGTAAATTCATATCAATCTACTAACCACAAACAATTAATTTAGGTCTTTCTGTTATATTGTGGCCATTTTCTATTTACATGTACAAGTTGAAAACCTGAGGGGTCCTTTGTGTAATTTGCCCTAATTAAAATGTATACGGGTTTGAAGTTTTTTTATTTTTTTATTTTTATTTTTTGAAAAATGAATTACTAATGTTTTAGCATGAGAAATGTAATTATATTGTGAAAAGTAATTTTAGAATTACTGAACTAGGATTGAGTCATGCTCATGTAGGACAGAATTTTGAACAATTCAACAATTAGTTCGGCAAATTCATTTTCGATAAATCAATAGTATTTTTTTTTTTTTTTTTTTTTTGTGGAAATGACGCATTGAGAAAAACTCACTAACTTTAGCTCATAGGTCATGTTGGTTTTTGGCTGAAAACTTTTATTTAGGGCCCCAAAATCGCGTTTTATTGTGTTATAAGAGGTCTACAGATTATTTCGGAATTTTAGATCTAGTATTTTTTATTTATTAGGTTTTTTATTCTATTTTTTCTGAGTTTTTAAAGAAACTTTAATTTTAGGCTTATTTTCCTTTTGCTATTAGATTTCTTTATGTTTTAGTTTTCTTATAGAGTTAAGTTTTCTATTATATAAATACATGTACTGTATAATTAATTTTTATTTATTCAATTATCAAATAATATATCATATTTCAAATTTATCATTTTCAGTTACATTATATGCACGGATGTGAAAAAAATAAATAAATAAAATAAAATAAATCAGTATTATTATGGTGCATGCTATAAAAGTAGAAACAGTACTCAACATCCAAATATTCTTGTCTTGAGGAGAATCAAGCATTAATTTCAAAATGGTAGCTCAATATATATAAATGAACATGACAATAACTAAACTATAGTCAGTGGTTGGATGATACCATCATTATTTGAAAATTTTGGAATAAAACAAAGTTAGGAGATAGTCCTTCTCATCGGATGGAACATGACGATCTTTCTTGAAACGAGATGATTTTCCTTTCCATACCAAACTTTTTAATGAAAAAGCATGAGAGAAAAGGTAAGACTGGCCCATGGTTAGGACTTAGACGAAACTGCATTCACAAGTGTCTCAATCAACTGAAAAATTTAATCTATCGTGTATGAAAACTGAAAAAGTTCAGCTCGTGTGTGATAGTATGTTGAATATTGCTCTTGGACCATGTTACCATTGGAGTGAGGATTTGGTCCAGTATGTTGGGGAACAATTAATTCGCCGTTGTTGAGAGTTACATTATTCATTTGTCACATACAATCATCACAAGGGATAGCAGTTCGTTGATTTTGAAAAACTATTTAGCTTATTTGAATTGGAATAATTTTTACTAATAAAAATTTACGTGGACTCAGAGCGGGGGCAAGGAAGGTTGCCCCGTCCTGTTTAAGTAAACAAATTATTATATTATTCTTATTTTATTAATATATATATATATATATATATATATATATAATATTAAATATTGCTATATATATATATATATAGCAATATTGAATTTTATATTAAAGTACTGATGGCCCTTTTTTTTTATGAATTTTTAATAGTTATATAATTGCATTTGAGGGGCTTAAAAAGGAGGAAAAATTTTTGGACTAACCGGGCAGGGCGAGTGCCCATGGGATAAAAAAGTAAAACAGGGACGGGATGAGGTTTTCTAAACAGGGCAGGGAAGGGTACACTCGCCTAAAACTACTTCTATTGCCATTCCTAATCACATCACATCAACAGAAGCATATATAGAGATAACAATAATATACATCCACACATAACACAATATTTTATATGGTTCACCCAATTCTATGGTTACAACCATGAAGAGAGAGATTTCACTATTATAAATCAAGAAAGAGAATATACAATCACATGTCAAAACCCTACTTACTCATTCATCATCTTTTTTAAGGCTACATGTATACACTCGAAAATTACATATTTTTTCCTCGCTCCACACAACAGTCACCCTTAAACCCCTTACATCTTTTCTCCCTTTTCTCTCTCATAAATCTCTCACACCCATCTATATTTATAGAATCTTTAAAGCCCAATTCCTTATTGAACAAGTATTTAACTTGTCTTCAATTCTAAAATAGCAGGTACAACTTCTTTTCAAAAATTTTAGTCTTTTCCCCAATCTTCTATCTTTCAAAACTGATTAGGGAACTAATTCTCACACATATCAGGCAAACGCAACTGGTCCCATTTCTTCAAACAACCATTATGCCCAAGTGTAATCAGTTGCGTTTTTTCATAATAAAATTCTCTGCCGTGAATTTTGAACCACAACTCTAACAATATCCACTTTGACTCAAAAATATATCTTCATGTGCTATTTCATAGCTCCACCTTGAACAATGATCTCTTTATAGCTTCACCTCAAACTCTTCATAACTCCACTTCAATTAAAAAAAATTTCACATCAAATAAAATATTATGATAAAATTGAGAAACACTGTAATACTATATATAAAGCGCGAAGATTATTTCAGGTAGGATGTGGTCTTCACATACCGTGATGTCCATTATCCCTTTGGAATGTGCCTTGCACATAAGAGGATCTGAGATATTGTGTCATCAAAAATGAGTATTTTACAAGGATAAAAGTTTGGACAAATAATGTAATAATTTTGAAAGTAATAACAGTGTAAATTACATGTTAGTTTTCAAAACGAACGATAAATTTTCTTACTAAAAGTAAAATTGTGTACATCTTACTCCCAATCCCTTAACAACGCAAACTTGTACCCGGCTGACCATTTATTACTTGAAGGTACAGAGTGGCCTTTATGTCTGAGACTCTT